TGATGGACATTCCCCAAGGGCTCCCGGATTGTGTGAGGGCACAGGCCGGGTTGAGGGACCTCCCCCACTCGCCCTGAGTGCATGAATTTCGTACACCAGGCCTCTAGTTAAAGTATAAAAAAGAAGGATCGCCTCAGTTACATGCAGATACTACTTTATATAAGGGTTTGGTATCCAGGGGTGGGGTAGGTCATGGAAACAATCTTTCACAGATACTAAGATTTTTATTATTTATTTATTGATTGATTGATTGACTGATTGATTTCAGAGAACAGAAGGGAGGGGATAGAGAGAAACATCAATGAGAGAGAATCGTTGATTGGCTGCCTCCTGCACACCCCCTATTGGGGGAGATTGAGCCCACAACCCAGGAATGTATCCTTGGCCGGAATCGAACCTGGGACCCTTCAGTCTGCAGGCCAACACTCTAGCCACAGAGCCATACCAGCTAGGGCTGACTGTGTGTCTTTAAAAAGAAAGTTGAAACCATTTCTCTCTTTTTAGTTCCCAATGACCTCACTTAAGTAATGTAGCAAATGTGTAAGGGAGAAAGAAAATGGGTGCTGGAGGCAGGGAACAGAGTATAAATTGGTGGTTTTTAGCTTGCCGGGGGCGGGGCCTACATCTAGAACTGAAACTGATGAACGCCATGCCTCTCAGCCACTTCTGTGCTTTTGACTTCTGTGGGAGCTCGGTTTGTTCCCTTTCAGGACGTGCTGCTCACTTCCCTTTGTTCACACAGAATCCTGCCAGTGTCCCGGCAGACAGCTCCCAGAGATGGGGGTAAAGGATCAGGAATTGCCCTCCAGAAGCAAAATGTGTGTTCCTATCAACGGTGTGCACAGCGCTGGGTTTGCAGTAGTTTGGGGGCTTCTCTTTCAGACACTGCCTTCCAGCACTTTCTGGGGAAATGCAATTTCTGAGTAATGTCCTGGCTTCTCTGACCAAACCAGCAAGGCAGAGGGAGATGGAAGTCTGAGATGAATGCAGCCCTCCTGGTCAGGCACATTTATAGGTTAAAGTTAAGTCTTTTGGGTTTTTCCACAGTCAGCAGAAGCCTGAAGTTTATGACCTATTTCCTGCTCTGCCGAGCTTCCTCGTGCCTCATTCTCTTAGCATGGAAGCTTGAGGTGACTGCCATTTGTTCCTGTGGCAAGAAAGATAAACCTTTTTATCCCCCTCCCTCTCTTTCAACCCTCCACTGCTGTGGCTTTTAACAAAGCTGTCTGGACATGCATAGGGGTGCCCTCTCAACCCTGCACCCCAGTGTGTCACTGGCTGCCCCAGCTCTAGTCTGTCCCAATAAACCTGGGAAGTGCCTTCCAGGAATCTTGACAGAGTCCGGAAGGAAGAGGGGCCATTGCTCCTTCCACTGCTAGAGTTAGTTACTGAATGGCTGCCCTTGCTGTCAGAAAGCAGCTAGAAATGCGGGACGAGCTGCGCAGAGTGAGTGGGCTGTTCAAGGACTGAGAGGCACTGGCTCAGTTGTCAAACGTTTTAGAGAAGAAAGAAAGGGAAGACAGAACTGGCCTGGGCTGGGCCCACCACTCGATGGATGACCTCACAGCTTGCTGCAGTGTTGGTTTTATCGCACATAAAACTGGAATGTTGGTTTCTACTGCCAGATGGTTAAAAGGATGCAATTATAATGTGTTATTGTTACAAAATGAACTGTCTTTTGGGATTGGTTATTATTGTCTTGAATTATTTTCTTGGTCCTCATTTCTGGTTCTCTTAACCAAGTCCTGAACAGCTAATGAATTCAGTTCTCTCATCTTCTCATTCCCCTCCCAGCTCAGCTGGTATCAGTGCAGAAGGCTGCCCCTTAAGTTCCACAGTAAGACCCACACTCTGAACCTTGGCTTTCTGTGCCTGTGGTCATTCTGAACCCTTCTTGTGAGCCTTCCTTACACTGGTTTGTGCTCAGTGCTATGGTCTGACTGACCTTTCCACCTTGCCTGCACTCAGCCCTACATCTAAGTTTGTGTAATTGAAGCCTCCTGGCCTCCCCATCTAATAGGGCAAGCATGTCAACTCAAAGGCTAACACGGACCAAATAAGCGAGGCATGCGGCCAGCAGGCCCCACGTCTGACGTGCTTGAAACAGGGTCATTCTTCTCTGTTGTTCTAAAGAAGTTAAGAAACCAACCCAGAGGAGTGGAAAGAACTAAGGCTGTCATCCTAACTGCCATTTGCTAGCCTTTCCGCTCTCATCTGTAAAGTGGAATGTTACCTACCACCTGGGCTCTTTAGGAGCATTAGAGCAGGCCTAATCTTTAGGAATTATCTAGAACAGTGCCTGTAACTTAGGCAGGTGCTCAGTAGGTATCAGTGTCTTCCTTGCTGTTATATGTGGTTGTCTACACCACAGCCAGTTGTCCCCAGTAGTGCTGCATCTTCCTTGTACATGAAGGTGATGCAGTTCCCTTCTGTCAGATTCTGGGCTTCGTGAGTTGATTTTTCAGAAGTTGGATTTGTGCCTCAGCCCTAGGGATAGCCAACATAGGTTGTTGATTCAGCAAGTCAGCCGGATTTTTACACAGAATGTGGGCTGTGGTACAGAAACTGTAGCTGGCTTGTTTGGGAATTGAACCCATGATTCAACCCAGACTCTGCGTTTGATGATAGTAGCACCCTCGAGGCGTCGGAGAGGGCACCATTTGCTTCTGAGCACTCTCTCTTGTTTGACTCTTGCAAGAGTTTTGGGAGGTGGACAGATTCTCACTCTACAGAGAAGAAAATGAGACCCCAAAACCAGTCGTACCAGGGTCACAGCAGTGGTCATTGGTAGAACTCAGGGCAAGAACACTGCTACCTTGATTTTTCTATAGGACTTCTGTGAGGCTTTGAACCCAGATGCTGTCCCAATGAAAATTTAGTGCTGTGCCACAGAATCCTCCAATTTTCCTGTCACGTGTATACTTGGTATCCATTTCTTACAGAATATTCATTAATTCATTGAATGAGTTGTGTGCTGGGTACTCTAGGCACTGAGGATACTGTCAGAAATGAAAGACATGGACAAAACCCGTGCTATGCCCCGATGAAGCCTCTGTGGTAGGAGCTGAGCATAAACAAGTAAGAGAAGGTGGCATTACTGTAGAGGGTCAGCCCGAGGAGTGCTGTGAGGACAAACGAGGCAGAAAGAAAGCTGGGGTGGATGGGGAGGGGAGGGGTGGAGCAGACCAAACACTGAGTTTTCTCTTGGATTCCTTCTGTTTTTTGTCTTACCCGTATGATAAGCTCTCCTGGAGAGCATAAGGCTGCCTTCCCTGCTGGCCCATCATGCCAAGTACAGATTCCTGCGTATCAGGGCCTTTGGAGATGGATCTTGCAGTTGAGTCAGCCTAACGCAGTAGAAACAGGCACAAGGGCTGTCCACTTACCCACAGAGATGACCAGGAACTCCCAGAGCAGAGCTGGGTAGCCTGGTTTGTTGGGGCTCCAGCCTGTGCTGTATTTTCCTGCCAGATCATTTGTTAAATCTCTAGCTCCCCCTGCTGTTAAAAGATGGGGTGGTCTCCCAACTTGCCTTTTGAAATAGAGAGGTGTGTGTGTGTGTGTGTGTGTGTGTGTGTGTGTGTGTGTGTGTGTTTAATGCTAAGATTTAATTATTATTATTATTATTTTAAGAAGTACTTCTGGTACATTTAGAGCTTTGTTCTGGAACTGCTGTTGCAGGTTTAGAATGGAGGGAGGAAGTGCAAAGGCCCAGGCAGGATAGGGGCATATCTATGCTCTGACTACTTTTAGCGTCTCCCTACCCTGCACTCCTACCGCAGCCAGCAGCCAAGCAAAAGTTATCTCCTCACACAGTGTAGCAGCTGTTCTGAAACTCCAGAGCAGCAGCGTGAAACCGACCACTGTCTTGTAAAATGTTCTCTTATTGCTCGTGTTCCCTACATGAAGTGAGTCAGGCCTTTTCCCCTCTTGTCCTCAGGGTGTCCCGACTTGTCATTTGTCACTATAGCCTGGTTTTTGACAAAGTTCTCTTCATGGTGTCGAATTTGTAGAGGGTCCTGTTTGGGTCTCCCCACCCTCAGTGTTGTTTGCTGAGTGGAGAGCTGTGGTCCCGGTGGTGGTGGTGGTGGCGGCGGCTCCAGAATAGAACGGATCCCTTGACAGGGGCTGCAGAGAGCCCTTCTTGTCAGCTGCTGTGTGTGCACCAGGGTCAGACATACAACCACTGTGAAGTTCCTTTAGTCCTTAGAGATGAAATTCAAGTTTAATTTTAGCAGCACTATTAATATCAGCTGAAATGAAGAAGGAAATGGCACCAAGTAGACATGTCTTTGTTGTCTAACAGCCCATTCAGTTTGGTCCTTTGAGGTTCCTCATGAGGTAGAAGTCAGGTGGACCCGACATGCAGCGCGACCCTTCCTGAGTCCCCGTCTCCCCGAGAGTAAGGTGAGGCCCGGCGCTGGGTGTGAAGGTTGACCATCAGTGAGGATTGTGCAGCTAACAGTCCAGCTAATGGGCCCAGGATATTTTTCAGTTATATTTGATGGGTGCACTTTATAGAGCTTAAGCTTAGGCCAGTGATGACTGCTATTAGGAATAAAGTAACCGAAGTTATTTTAATGGGACAGCTGAACCATAAAGGTGTACATTTACTTGCGTGCTATTTTTCTTCTTCATTTCAACTGGTGTTAATAGTACTACTAATGCCGAAACCGGTGTGGCTCGGTGGATAGAGCGTCGGCCTGTGGACTGAAGGGCCCCAGATTTGATTCCAGTCAAGGGCATGTACCTTGCTTGTGGGCACATCCCCAATAGGGGGTGTGCAAGAGGCAGCTGATTAATGTTTCCCTCTCATCAATATTTCTAGCTCTCTATCCCTCTCTCTTCCTCTGTAAAAACTCAATAAAATATATTTATTTAAAAAAAATAGTACAACTAAAATTAACTTGAATCCAAGATGCCTTCTCCATGGTAAGTTGTAGCAGTAGACATGATGCTTCCCTAATAAAGTAATTCTTTTATGATTCCTCTCCCAACAGCTTTGAAAAGTCCAGCTGCGTTTCACGAACAGAGAAGGAGTTTGGAGCGGGCCAGGGTAAGGCACGCCTTCTTCTTGAGCACCTCGAAGAGAACTTCAGAGCCCCTGACATTGCCGCTCATGTTCCTTCCAGTTCTAATGAGCAAGCTCTGCCCTTTCTGCTTCCTCTCCACCCGCCATCTCCTAGCGTGATGATTCAGAGCGCGATCAGAATGATTTTCTCCTTTACCACCTTTAAGAGTATGTAGTCTCACCGAGCCTTTCTCCTGTCGTTTTGGAGACCACTGATCTTTTCCCGTTTATAACCACCACAACCTTTTGTGGATGTTAGGCAGCATCGGCAGCCCTCCACGTCAGTGGCTGCACTGCCCACGCCTCTCCAGGATGGGCATGCACCGGTCCTCATGTGCCCTGAGCAGCCAGTATCCGCTAGACGCTGTGGAAGCTGAAGCTGGGCCCCTCTGAGCCGGGTTCGTGCTGCACCTGGCTTGCTGCCTATTCCCCTTGCTTTCAGTTCCCTCAGGGGCCTCGGGGGATATTCTGCTGCCCAGTGTGGGCGGAGATGGGGAAGTCGCCAAAACATGCTTCCCCCTCGCACCCACACCCCTTCACTTTGGTCTTTCACGCAAAAGACAAAGGCAGAGAATCTCCCCAAGGGAGGGTCACAGACTGAGGTACCCTAAGACTCACAGCTCTTTCAGAGATGAAAATGTTTACCTCTGAGACTTCCCTTACTGCCTGCTCTTTTAAAATTATTTTTTTAATGTTCTAAGGAAAATCATTATTAATTCTTAGAATGAGAAGAATGAGGTCATGGGTACTGGGAACCAAAGCAGCCACAAACTGCACTGTTATAGTGCTGGGAGTGCTAGAGAATATGGCGGTGGGGTCAGGACCGGCATTGCCTGTGCCCCAACCCATTTGTAAGGCCTGGCACCACTTCCTGACGCTTCTCAAGCAGGCAGGGAGTATATATGAGCTGATTAGAGCAGCTGTTATCTTATTGAGTACTTTTCATGTAAAATGATATCGTTTTCTTGTTTATGCTCACATCCGTTCTTATGAATTAGGTGTTCTTACCTTCATTTTAATTTTATAGTTTCAGCTAAGAGAGGTTAAGTAATGTGTCCAGCTAGCAAGTGGCAAAGCTGGGATTCAACCTTGGTCTGTGAACTCCAGATATTTTTTTCATCAGTACTGTATTCTGCCTTGGCCTTGGTCACTGCTCAGAACTTCAGGTGGCTTAGAAAATACGCCTGCTCTGATAGCTGTGAAGACCTGCAATGTCCAACAGCTGTTCTAGCATCTTCTACAGCAGCCAGAGCAGTTTTTCTGCCCACTGCAGATGGTGTGATAGATTCAGAGCCCAAAGCCACTGTAAACCATCTCACAGAAAGCTCAGCACCAACCCAGGCTGGCACAGGCTGTCCAGTCAGAGTCCAGGCGGGACAGAACCAGGTCTTTACACACTTTCCTACGTGCATTGTGCTCTGATACTTTTTCTGTTTTTATTCTCCTCTGTTCTACCCTACTGTACTGACCCTATCCCATTCTCTGCTGATCTTCAACCACTAATGGTCTGGACCTATGGTTTGAAAATTTCTGGTGCAGAGGTTAAGAGCCCGATTCTGGAGTCAGACAGATCTGGGGTCACGTTATATGCATTATAACATGAGCGCCAGGCAGTGGGGTGTCTTGGGACTGTTGAAGAAATGGCTTCGTTTGCCTGGAGTCTCAGAAATGCGGAAATGATTACATTGGACTTTAAGGAACTAGAGCTTTGACATCATGTATCAAAATTAGTATTCCATTTGGTAGTCATTCAAAATGAGTGGAAAATGCTTATAAGATCATGAACATTATTTGAAACAAGATATAAAATTATATGCAGCATGATTACAACTCTGCAAAATTAAACTTGTCTTCCATGCGGAAGAATGATTAGAAATAAATATCCCAAAATACCAACAATGGATGATTAAAATGTTTTATTATCATTTTGCTTGGTAATTTTCTAGTTTTTTTTATGAAACTATATTAACTTTATAACAATGAAAGTAATATATATATATATATATATATATATATATATATATATATATATCATTAGTCCAACCTCAGACTGACAAATATTCTTGATGGATGGTGCCCTTGGCAGGTGCACTTGGCAGTGGATATGTCCTCCCTGGCTGCCCTGGGCCTCAGCACCCTGCAGTCTCCACACTGAGCTCGGGGGGGCTGCAGAGGTGACAACAGCCACCACTGCTTTTTGGTCCTGTCGGTGCCACAAAGCTTGTGATCTGGATTTGAGAGCTTCTTGGTGGTGTTGTTTTTTCTATAGACAGAGGACTATCTGAAGCGCAAGATTCGTTCCCGGCCAGAGAGATCGGAGTTGGTCAGGATGCACATTTTGGAAGGTGTGTTAAATGGCAATGCTTCTAAACCCTTGTTCTCACTGTGTGTTCACCGCCTCAGCACCCGCATTTCTTCTTCCCTTTCTTGTCACTCTCAGTTCTGTAGGCAGTGGGTGGGCCAGAGCCTTAGCTGAAACAGCTGGGAATTCCTGGGAGCGCAACGCCTTCTGCTGGGCTGGCTTACCCTTTCTCCTGGGGCTGGTCATCTCTTGATGTACATTTTTCCCCTCTAAGATCTGTTTTTCAAATGCGTTTGCTTTCTCTTTTTCATTCATTGATCCATTCATTCGCTCAGCATTTCCCTGAGCACTTGTGATGTATAAGGTCACCCTAGACACCCTCCCCCTGGCTCCAGCTCCTCCCCACCTTCTGGTGAAGCGAATGGCTGCTGAAAGCAGTGTGACTCTCCATTTTTTTTTTAGTTTTGAACTACCTTTGGGGTTGGAAGAGAACTTTCCTAAGGTGAACCCCACATTTTGCTCATGAAGACTCTGAGGCCCAGAGCAGGAAGAGAATTGCCCCTGTGACACAGCAAGCTTGAGAAGGTCACTTTGCTGTCTGGTGCTCTTTTCAGCTCTGTAGCTCCACCTCAGGACCCTCTGGCCTGGTGGCCATTGTTGTATGTGGCCACACATCGCCCACATAGGGGCCCCTTCTGTCCTCGTGAAACTTGAAGCTGGGCCACCCTTTTCCGCCTGGGATGCGCTTTGCATTCTGATGGCCTCTGCTCCTTCCTCAGAGGGAAGGAGACTGCTCTGGAGTTCCCAGGGCAAACACAGGTCCATTTCTACATCCTCCTGCACTCCATTCTCTCCCACGGGCAGAGACCTCGGCTGAGCCTTCCCTCCAGGCCAAGCAGCTGAAGCTGAAGAGAGCCAGGTTGGCTGATGACCTCAACGAGAAGATTGCACAGAGGCCTGGCCCCATGGAGCTGGTGGAGAAGAACATCCTGCCTGTGGAGTCCAGCCTGAAAGAAGCCCTCATCGGTGAGGAGGCCCAGCACCCTGAGTGCATTGCAGGCAGACGCAGAGGGGCAGGAGGGGGGCAGGCTCTGGGCTTCTTTGCCCTGCGACTTTTTGCTTTGACTTGGGGACTGGGGTACAGAGTGTGAGAGCCTGATAAACAGGTTGTGTTAGCTTGGGACAGTGCCAGGGGCCACCGGGATCAGCGCCAGGGCAACATAGGTGATAACAGAGGCCTTAGCTGATTATCGGAGCTGAGTCCTCCCACAGGGTAGGTGGGGGGCAGGATCGATGAGTGTAAATATGCGGAAATGCCAGAGATTAGAAATCTGTTCCCACTGATTTTCTATTAGTGAAATCTGTGAAGCCTGGCACTTTCCACAGGAATTTCACTTTTCAAATATTGATTGATCCAAGCAGTGCTAGGTGCTAGGACCATAGCCCCACAAGCCCCTTGGCCTTAGAGAACTCATGTCTAGGAGAAGACACAGGCAGGTAAAATAGGCAGAAGCAAGTTCTGTGCTAGAGGGGGCACACAGAGAGGACCCCTCAAGCAACCCTCACAGTGCAGCGGGGTGTGCGGTCAGGGGCTGGGCTAGGCTGGGCTGCGGGGAGTAAAAAGGAAAGTGCGTGCATGGGAGAGAGGCAGAGCGAGATGTGGAGTTGGAAGGCGGGCAGGGCTTCGTGTGCCCCAGTCAGGTGGTCAGACACGAATCCCTTAGATGCCGGCGATTGTTGGTACAGATAATGTCTTCTTTGCAACAGTGGACCCAAAACCTGAACCGGGCAAGGCTGTGTGCTCCTGCCCTTGGGAGGTAGCTGGGCCTTCAGGAGAGAGGACTCAACTGCTCCCTCCTTGGGCAGAGTATGAGAGGAGAACCACAGGGTGGACCCCAGTGCATGGCAAGTTGTAACACAGCAAGCTTGAAGTCACTTCCAAGAGGGGACTGTGGTTTTGGGGCTTTATCTGCCCTGCAGACGGTGGGCCCAGTGGAGGAGGAGCCACTGCGCTGGAGGTGGGCATACCTCGGGCCCCCGAGAGCCGTTTTATTCACGGCTTCCCAGGGCATCCATCTGCCTCATCCCAGTGTTTCCTACCCAGATCTTCACCAGATCCCACAACAGCCCCTGGTTTACAGGCCAGGGTTTGGGCCAAGGTCAGTTCTGGACTCTCCAGCCAGCTAAGACTGATAAGTGTTGGCTGAGAGTTGGCAATGCTCCAGGCCCCTTATGAAGGCCTGCAGAGATGAACCAACGATGATGCTTCTCTCAAAGAATGTGGTCTGATGTATAAACTGATGTATAAACAATTAACCTCCGCGTCTGGCTCCGAGCAGTTGCCAGCATTGTGTAGCAGAAAGGCATGTGCCCTGTGACATAGCTGAGCCGTGTGGATTGCAGGACAAGGAGCAGGACGTCCTTGGTCCTGTGGAGACTCATGGGAGGGCTGTTAGTAGTGCTGTCAGGGGTGGACAGCATGGAATAGGGCCTGTGTGTCAGGTGCAGAGGGAGCTCTGCCAAGATGGGCTTCTCTCAGGGCTGGGGAAACTCTGTAGATGATCTGGCCCATTTGGGGTCAACCCGAAGGTTGAATCACATCGAGTGGAGTACAGAAGGTCATCCCAGGCCGAGGGGCCAGTAGGAGCAGTGGCCTGGAGGCCTGGTGGGGTGAGGCTCGATGAAGGCCTGGGAGTAGTTTAGTTTGGCAATGAGGAGAGAAAGAAGCATTTTCCAGCAAAAGGCAGATCGTGGGGGCTGAGGAATGAGCAGGATTTGAGGAAATGGTGACAGCAAATGTGGCCCATTTGTTCACAAGGTGAGGGGAGGAGGAAGAGTGTGGAGTGGTGGGTAGGAAAGATGTTTAGGCTGGGAGGAGTAGAGCAGACGGTTGCTGAGGAAGGAGTGGGGTGGGGGGAGGAGAGAGGGGAAAGGGAGCTGAGACAGTTCTGGAGCCTGCGAGAGGGGGCTGGGATGGGGCTTTTTATCTGCCACAGTTGCTCGCTCACACACCCTTGCCTCCAGGCCATGTGAGACTCATGCCAAGGCCCTCTCTCCCTGAGTTCCCTGAGCCTCCCTCAGTGTCCCCTCAGCGTCCTTTCCCTCGAGTGGAGCATATACTGTGCTCCAAGGGGATGGCCCGGACCCGTCTCTGTCCCCAACACCCTGTGTGCAGCCAACAGCCGGCACAGCAGAGGAGCAGGCTGCTGGGCCCCGGCCTGCACTGGCCTCGCTTCTCAGTGGCCAGCAGCTTCCGTGGGTGGAGGGCCCGGGGATGCTGCTCAGCACTTCCTGCTTCCCTCATGTGGCTGCGGTCCCACAGCAGGCCTCCCGGGATACAAGCATGGGAGAAGAGAGGGGTGTGATTGGCAGGAAGTCCACGGTGGCCAGCATCTGCCCTCCGTGTGCTGTGTGTGTGTCTCTGGGACAGATGGGTGGACGGTGAGCCAGCCCAGGCCTGGGCATTCCTGGCTCCATCTCCATAGTCGACTGGTGGAGAAACAAACTCAGGGGCTTCCTTGCTAGTCCCAGGAAGGAGGAGAGAGCTCGGGTCATGGCCCTGGAGGGGAGAGTTACTGGCTTGTTCTTGTTCCTTGTCTGTGGTCTCCCCACCACAGCACATTTCCCCAGCTGTGGCCGACAGCTCACCTCCACGTCGTGGCCACCACTCACTTCCTCTGTGTGGACAGCCATCGGTGCAGAACCTCTCCCCTGACTGTGCTGAAGCCATGGTGGGGACATCAGTCTTTTGAAATATCCTGCTTGCCCTGTTACTATCTTTCCTTCCGTCTGTATCCTGGGATTTCCATGCCAGGACCCTGCCTGTCCTGTTTCTCCCTCTCGGCCTGGCTTCAGCCAGCCCAGGGCGGGGAGGGTGGGAATAGCCCATAGGATGGGTGTTTCTCTGCTGGCCTTGGGCCTCTGGGAGCCACTGATGGGAAGCCACTTCCTCTGGCCCGTTTCGCTTGTGCAGGCAGGGTTCCTTTCCTGGAATCCCCTGGCCTTGTGCAGGCGGCCCAGGGCGGAGCTGCCCTCCAGAGGGGGTACCGCTCCTCAGTTCCCTCGCACACCCAGCCCTCACTGCAGGGCCCACAAGCCTCGGGGAAGAGAGGAGAGTTTTGTGCGGCCTTAGGATGGAAATATAATAAAATGCTTTTAACAGCAGGGGATCTGCGGCAAGGAGGCAGCAGGCTGCGGGTTGGGGGTGAGGGGGGCGTGCGTGGAGAACTGAAGACTGAGGCAGTGGAGAGTGAAAAGCAAGAGGGGGAGCGGGCCTTTCCTTCCAGGAAGCACTTGGCTGGCTCAGCAGGACTTCCCAGCCTTTGTCTCCGGAGTCGTGATGATGAGCACACTGGTCTCCCTTCTCCTGTCGGCCTCGCCGGGGCGTGGAGCCAGGAGACAGGGAGGCTGAGGGGGGTGGGGGCTGAGGAGCGGGCACCTTGCTGGGACAGCCTCTGGGTGGTGAGCAGACCCTCTCCCCGTTCCTGGGGCCGGCAGAGGAGCTGACTCGGACTTTGCTTTCAGTGGGCCAGGTGAACTACCCGAAAGTGGCAGACAGCTCTTCTTTCGATGAGGACAGCAGCGATGCCTTATCCCCTGAGCAGCCTGCCAGCCAGGAGTCCCAGGGCTCAGTGCCATCACCCCTGGAAGCCCGAGTCAGCGAGTCACTGCCCAGTGCCACCTCCGTATCCCCCTCTCAGGTGAGCCGACCGCCACACACTTCCCCTGCTCCTCTGGGCCCGACTCGCTGAGCTGCCCAGTTCAAGGTCTCTCACTGGGACCAGACGGCTCAGGGAAGGGAGGGGTGTTGCCCTGGGAGCTCAAGGGCTAGCTGCTTGAGGGAAGAGGTGCCGGCAGTGGACAGAATTTGTTAGCCTCCTTGGCCCTCCCTGTGTCCACTCATCAGTTCTGTGATCTTTTCACACCCTCCATCTCTCCCTTTTCCAGTCCTCTTTGCCCCGCGACAGTGATGGTGCCCAAGGAAGTGGCTGCCACCCACCTCCAGGCAGGGCAGGGCAGGGATGCACTGCCACCTGGAGACGGCCCTGGCCTCTGGAGCAGCCAGAAAAGGAAGCGTCCTCACTCCCCTTCTCTCTCAGGTTGTGTCTCAGCTCCCAGTGGGCCCAGAGTCCCGAGAAACGCTTTTCCTGCCAGAGCAGCCTCCTCTGCCTCCCAGCCTCACCAACGGAACCACGGTCCCCACCACCAAGCCCATCCCCACGCTCATTAAGGTACAGTTCTCCTGCTCGTACCCATCCCCTCCGAGCCTGCTGAGGCTCCATCCCAGGGTGGGGACAACTGCAGGGGCTCAGGGCTCAGCAAAGCGCTGAGGAATGTGGGAGTGCTTCCTGTTCTCCGGGATGCTGGTTGTCATGGTTACAGCCCCCGTGTACCGAGCACAGTGTGCCAGGCTCTGGGCTGGGCTTTCAGGCCTGTAGCCCTGCCCTCCCCGGGGAAACGTGCCCACCCTTCCAGCTGGGTCACTGGCAACCTCGAGAGGCAGTGAAGAACCCTGTTCTGCAAGCGACACCAGGAGGCGTGCAGGCGGGCCCAGGGCCCTCTGCTGGCAGAGCCGGGGAAGGCTCCTGCTCTCCGTCAAGGCCTGGCCTGAAATACCTGCAGGGGTTTACTGTCAACCCCATGAGACACCTGTTGGGGACCTTGCGTGGGGAACACTGTGCTGGCCACCAAGAGCCACTGCCCAGTCCTCCGTCCCTCAGAGCCTCCATCTCAGAGACTCTGAGACCAAGTCTGTGCTCCTGCTGGGCAGGTTCCCTTCCTCCTGGCCCCGCTTGCTTCCCTGTCTGGCCTCATCCTCCAGTCCCCCTGGCCCAGTGGGCGTCTCTGGCAGCCTGGTCCCGGCTCCTGTCACTCACAGCGGGGACTGACCAGGTGCGCGTCCTCTCCCCTTAGCTGAGCCCCGCTGCCTGGTCATCGGCGGGGCTTCCTGGTGCCCTGCTGTGTGGCTGTGCCCCAGGCCCGCCGCTTCCATGGTCTCGGTGAGGCCGCCCCTGGTGCCAGAGGAAGCACCAGAGCCCTGGCTGGCTCCGGGCTGCTCCCTCCTCACAGGCGCTTCTCTTTGGCCATGGATGTCTGTTCCCCAGAACTCCTCCTCCAGACTTGCTTCTCGTCATCTGACTGGTCCTCCCTTTGACCACCACACATTGGAAAGACTGTATCTGTGTTTTTCTACACTTCCTCTTCTCTGGGGAGAGCCCCCCAGCCTGCCAGTGAGCCCTCCTCAAGGCTTCCTAATCCCCCAGCCCCCCATCTGCCTCTGACCCCCACGGGTCAGGCTCCTCTCTTCTCTCTTGCTTTTTCTGCCCTTCCTCTGCAGCTGCTCTTCCCTTGGCTTTTCCTCCTCTTCCCTCTCAGTGGGGTGCCCCGGGTCCAGCTCTCAGCCTCCATCCATGGTCCCTTTCGGCCCCGCCCTTCGGAGCCTGCTCTGGGTCATCCTCCCACAGGCTCATCTTCGTGCACCAGTTGCTCTGCCAGCTTCGCCGTCTTCTCCTCTTCCCATGCTCCGTAGCAAACCCAGAACCTCTCCCTGACTCCCTTGAAGGGACCACCAGTGTCGCTGTGCCAAAGCTCAAAGCCACCCTGAACTGCTCACCTGCCTCCTGCGCTGTTGTCCCCTCTTCCTCTAGTCCGTATTGGCTCCCACTGCCACCCGGTGAAGACCCCTGCTGATGCCGCGCCATCTGCACCCTTCTGCCTAGCATTCTCCACTCAGAGGTGGCCAGGCCCTCCACAGCCTTGCCTGCACGCTGTGCTGACTGCCCCTGTCCAGCTCTACCCTTCCTGACCCGGACACAGGCCTCCGGGCAGGACCTGCTGGCCCTTCCTGGTCTGCAGGGTCCTCACTGACACTCAGGTGGGAGGCTCTGTGCGCCGCACCTGCTGGGGTCTTTGAGGCCCAGCTGGTGAAGGAACAGAGTTTTTGGAGTCCCAGCTTCACGTGGTGAGATCAAGATCACTGCGACCCTGGGAGGGGACTTCACGGGCCTGTTTCCTCATCTTCACATGGGCTTGCTGGCTCCTGCCCAGGCAGGATTCTTGCAGGCCTGCCGGACCTGTTCTTTGTAAAGCACCTGGTGTGGAAGGCACACGCTCCAAAAACCAGCTGTTTTACTTTCTTGTCATGTTCCCTCTGCTGGGGGTGACAGTGTCTTTATTTTTGGGTTGATTTTCCCTCCAGCCCAGGAGCAGCTTCCTGTGAGCTCTTGCCCCTCCTTGGGACACTCTGAGCACTGATTCTGGAGGGAGAGAGTGGGACTGGGCAGGAGGCCTCCTCAGAAGCCACTCCGTTACAATAGGACGGCCATCGGCCTCCCACCTGGGGGCCTCCCTCCGGAAGCCCAGATGCCCCTGACGGCTCCCGTCTCCTGTGCCCTCAGCAAAGCCAACCCAAGTCTGCCAGCGAGAAGTCGCAGCGCAGCAAGAAAGCCAAGGAGCTGAAGCCAAAGGTGAAGAAGCTCAAGTATCACCAGTACATCCCCCCGGACCAAAAGCAGGACAAGGGGGCGCCCCCCATGGACTCCTCCTACGCCAAGATCCTGCAGCAGCAGCAGCTGTTCCTCCAGCTGCAGATCCTCAACCAGCAGCAGCAGCAGCACTATAACTACCAGACCATCTTACCGGCCCCCCCAAAGTAGGAGCCCCCTCCCTCCCCTTCCCGTCTCACCCGTGGGCACCCCAAGATAGGCACATGCCAGGTCTCTGGTGGCGGGGAGAGGTGAGCCCCAGCCTGTGAGGGCCCTTTGGTCTGGATCCTGCAGGAATGGCCCCCAGGCAGGGCCTATGGGCAGGCCCCTCGCCCCATACCATATCCCTCTGGCCTGGGGGTGGAGGGCCCTGGGTGCTCATTTCTGCCTTTTCCCCCTCAGGCCGGCAGGTGAGGCTCTGGGAAGTGGGGGGGCTCCCCAGATGCGCAGCCTTTCCACTACCAGTACCACCTCCAGCTCAGGCGCCCCAGGGCCCAGTGGGCTGACACGTCAGAACAGCACCTCGCTGACTGGCAAGCTGGGAGCCCTGCCCGCCAACCTGGACGACATGAAGGTAGGTGGTCGCCCCAAAGTTGGGGAAAGCAGACAGAGCAGAGCTCCAGACGGGTCTCCTCCGGCAGAGGCACTGGAATCTGTTCGAGGCCCTGGCCCTGGTGGAGACATCAGGCTTGTTGGGTAGTCATGACCACGAACAGCATCAGCAAGCACCTGTCCAGGGCCTGGGGCTTACCGGCCCTGTTCTCTTCTCCTCCTCGGCCTCTTCAGTGCAGGGTGGGAAATGGGAAGTGTTCCCGCTCAGGATGAGCTAGTGGAGGGGTCTCAGGGTGGAGGACTGGCTGGTGGTAGAGCCCAGATTCAGACTCGGGGCTGCCCACTCAGCACCTCCACTTTTCCCTCCCCTATTGGGCAGGTGCTGAGCCACAGGGGAAGGGATGTCCTGGGACCTTGGAGGGGCCTGTGCCTGATCAGCATATATGGTGGATCGAAATCTCCCAGAGGGTTTGCACCCTGAACCAGGCAGCCCCTTCGGAGCAGGCCTCATTGCAGCAAGTCACAGGCCTCGTGGGGGCATTTGGGCACAGGGTCAGAGCCCATCAGACCTGGCCAGAGCTCCTAACTTTGCTGCTCGTCAGCTCTGTGACCTCAAAGATATTGTTTTCCTTTTGTGAGCTCAGTTTTCTCTTCTGTAAAATCCAGTCACTTCATTAATTATGTACTGAGCACCAGCGTCATGCTGGGGATAGCTGAGGGCATGTCCGGCCCAGGCGCGGGGCAGGGAGCATTTTAACCAGGCCCCTGGGGTGGTGAGGACGGGGACAGGGAGGAGGCTGGGGGCATGTCTCACCGTCCAGGTGGGAGGGTCAGGCGGTTGATGTGTAGTTACTGATCAGTGAGGCCCGAATAGACGAGGCCTAACAGACAAAAAGCTCGTCCCTCCCATCCTGCCCCGATACCCTCTTGCCTGAACCCAGTTCCCTTCATCCCCTGCTGCCCTGACTCTCCAAATTCTTGCAGGTGGCAGAACTGAAGCAGGAGCTGAAGTTGCGGTCACTGCCCGTCTCTGGCACCAAGACAGACCTGATTGAGCGCCTGCGTGCCTACCAAGAACAAGTCAGCCCTGCCCCCGGAGCCCCCAAGGTCCCTGCTGCCACCTCCATCCTGCCCAAGGCTGGCGAGGTGGTGGTAGCCTTCCCGGCGGCCCGGCTAAGCACGGGGCCTGCTCTGGTGGCAGCAGGCCTGGCCCCCGCCGAGGTGGTGGTGGCCACAGTGACCAGCAATGGAGTGGTGAAATTTGGCAGCACAGGCTCCACACCCCCCGTGTCTCCCACGCCCTCCGAGCGTTCGCTCCTCAGCACAGGAGACGAGAACTCCACACCTGGGGACACCTTCGGCGAGATGGTGACATCGCCACTGACCCAGCTCACCCTGCAGGCTTCGCCGTTGCAGATCCTCGTAAAGGAGGAGGGCCCCCGGGCCGGGTCCTGCTGCGTGAGCCCGGGGGTGCGGGCAGAGCTGGAGGGGCGTGACAAGGACCAGATGCTGCAGGAAAAGGACAAGCAGATCGAGGAGCTGACCCGCATGCTCCGGCAGAAGCAGCAGCTGGTGGAGTGGCTCAGGCTGCAGCTGGAGCAGGAGAAGCGGGCCCAGCAGCCCCCGCCCGCGCCCACCCCCGCCCCCGCCCCCGCCCCCGCCCCCCTTGGCGTCCCAGTGAAGCAAGAAAACAGCTTCTCCAGCTGCCAGTTGAGCCAGCAGCCCCTGGGCCCTGCTCATCCCTTCAGTCCCAGCCTGGCAGCCCCCACTCCCCACCGCGCCGACACTGGCGCCCTGGTGCCTCCTCCGGTGGTGGTGAAGCAGGAAGCCGTGCTGCCCGAGTCGGAGCCGGAGCCCGCCCCCACGCCCCAGCTGCTTCTGGGCCCACCGGGCCCCGGCCTCGTCAGAGGGGTGACACCTCCCGCCGGCATCACTGACTCCACAGGGACCCACCTTGTCCTCACTGTGACCAATAAGAATGCAGACAGCCCCGGCCTGGCCAGCGGGAGCCCCCAGCAGGTACCTAGGTGTGGGAGGGCAGGGGACAGGCGTGTGTGATGCTAATAGCTCTGTTTACTGGGCGCCCCCATGGCGGCAGTTAGGCTTGCTTCCTTTAATTTTCCCTTCAACCTTCCAGACTGAGGGATCGCCATCCCGACGTCACCAAGGAGATGGTTAAGGTCCTGCTCATGACCCCACACCCATGAGGGTGAAGCCATCAGTGACTGCCTACCTCCTCTGGCCACTGATACCAGAACATTCCTGCACCCTGGTAGAGGGCTCTGAGCAGCCCCATCCAGGCCAGGGCCCACTCTTGCCTCTGCTCCATGGGAGTGGGACAGGCCCCAGATGAGGAGAGTCAGGGAGGGGCTGCTGGGCTGACCTTCACTCCTTTTCCCTGGAGGCCAGCTGGCCCCACCAAGGTGCCATTGGCAGCTGACTCCCTGCTGCTGCCACCTACACAGCCCAGACCCTTCACCCAGCCTGCTTTAGGCTTTGTGGCCTCAGCCCTGCAGAACAGGTGGAGGGGACAGTGACGGGAACCAGGCACTCTGAGAAAGGAATCAGCCCAGAGCCCTTTCCCCCTCCCTCCCATGTGGCTTGCACCAGACCCCATGCTCACCCCACCCTCTGCAGGATCAGAGGTGAGGGCCTCCCCCAACCTTGATCCTTTTTCCCCCAGTGGCTTTCATGAAAGCTTCCTGAAAGCCAGCGCAGCTGGCCAGGTTGGCTTAGCCTAGAACAGTGGTCGGCAAACCGCTGCTCTAGAGCCACATGCGGCTCTTTGGCCCCTTGAGTGTGGCTCTTCCACAAAATACCATGGACCCTAATTAAGTTAATAACAGTGTACCTACCTATATAGTTTACGTTTAAAAAATTTGGCTCTCAAAAGAAATTTCAGTTGTCGTACTGTTGATACTTGGCTCTGTTGACTAATGAGTTTGCCGACCACCGGCCTAGAAAGTAGGCGCCTCCTGCCTGTGCTCCTTGAGTGTGCAGAGCCCTGGCTGTTTCCCTCGTGTCAATCACCGCTCCTCTCACCGTTCCTCCTGTCCAGCCCTTGTCCCAGCCTGGCTCTCCAGCCCCCGTGCCACCAGCCCAGATGGACCTGGAGCACCTGCCGCAGCCCCCGTTCGGGACCTCCGCCTCTCTGCCGAAGAAGGAGCCGCCTGGCTATGAGGAAGCCGTGAACCAGCAGCCCAGACAGCAGGTGAAGAAGGTAGACTGAGGCCTGGCCACGTTGGGCGGTACCTTGGCTGCTGGGTTCCCGCAACCCCTCCCCGCACCCGAGTCCAGCGGGATAGGGGTGGGCAGGAGCCAGTCCTGAGGTCAGAGAGGCCTGAGGGACGGGCCGTTCTGGACAGGTGGGCTCTGGGTTCTGGCTGCTGGCTCAGGGGCAGAGGGGAAGAAGCCCGTGCCTTGAGCCTGGCTGGGGGGCTCCTATTGTAGATTTTCATTTCTTTTTTCTGTTTTTCTCCCACAGGAAAATGGTTCCTCGAGCCAACAGATGGATGACCTGTTTGACATTCTTATTCAGAGTGGAGGTAAGGCCCTGAGCTGCCTCCCAGCCTCCTCCTCCATAGGTTGTCTTCAGCCCTCAGTGGGTTGATTTTTTTGTACTTCAGGTGCAGCAAGGGCTGAGATGCATGCTCTCTGGGGGCGGGGGGCGGGGGGCGGGGGTGTAGCAACATACGTTCACTTACCCAGCACCCATGCCCCTGCAGCCCTGGACACAGCAGTGAGCACAATAGTGAAAGCCTTTTTGTGAGAGAAACGACAAAACAAGTAAATTCCATCACGTTAGAGAAGTGCTATGAAGAGGGAAGAGAGGGCTGAGGTGCGGTGGTGGGTCGGTGAGCAGGTGCAGAAGTCAGGGCAGGGGCAGATCCCAAGGCCTCCTGCGTGCAGGTGGAGGGGCTTTGGCTCTGATGCCAGAACCGCATAACTCTGAGGAACGTTCCGCTGGAAGGGCAGGAGCAAGAGGCTTGGGAGGCAGTGGTGCAGCGGAGAAGGTGGAGTGCCAGTGTGGTTTCCTTATGGATTAGGAGTTTGGCAGCCAAGGATGACGCCAAGGGTTTCAGCCCGAGTCACTGGCATGCGGCTGTGTGGCTGGGGGAGCTCTGGTGGGCTGTGGGGGGGGTCGTATAAGGTGCAGCCTCAGCTGGGCTTAGATGTGTCCCAAAACTGGAGGGATCAATGTGGACACCGCCCAGGTGAGGTCTGGGCGAATAGAGAGAACGAGATGGACACAGATGAGGCTGGGCAGTGAGCCGCTTCTGAAGCCCAGGGCTGCTGACAGCGGTCAGGGAAGACGGGAACCTCAGCCAGGGTGTTACCATGGCACCGTGGGCAAGTGCCTGGTTAAGAGGGTTGAAGGTGCCAAGACAATGGATAGAGCGTCGGCTTGGGGACTGAAGGGTCCCAGGTTCGATTCCAGTCAAGGGCATGTGCCTTGGTTGCGGGCATATCCCCAGTAGGGGGTGTGCAAGAGGCAGCTGATCGATGACTCTCTCCCATCGATGTTTCTAACTCTCTCTCTCTCTCTCTCCCTTCCTCTCTGTACAAATCAATAAAATATAAAATAAAATTAAAATTAAAAAAAGAGGGTTGAAGGTGTGGGAAGCAGCAGGTCTGGAGGAGTCTGAGCGTGGCGGTTTCATTGGTGGCAGCAGGCACAAGGCAGTGTGTGGAAGTTCTCTGTCAGCTGCCTTAATTACAGTAGGAAGAGGATTAAGATGTTCAAGTGTGAGCTTAGCCATGGAATTGAACACATTAAAATGGCCAATTTTATATCAACTTTTTTTTTTTTTAAACAAAAAGAGCTCAAAAGCTGACATTACTTTTAAGGTCACTGATTCTGGTCTTAGGGACTCCCTGGGGCCAGGGTCTGCGGTGGGGCCTGAGGAGCATTGCTGACCAGGGCAGGTAGCACTGAGGCTCCTGGGCTGCGAGTGCTCTGGGGCAGTTGGAGAGACCTGGGGGGGAACTTCGGAGGAACTGACACTGGGAAGGATGAGGCTGTCCAAGAACAGGAGAGAGACTGTGCAGGAAGTGGAACGGGAGCAGGCCCTGAGCTCCAGCCCCGAGAGATGGCGGAGAGAGAGGAGGGGAGTGCTGAGAAGTGGCCGGAGAGGGGGCGAGGATGCCAGGAAGAGGGTGTTTGAATCGGATGGTAGGGTGGCAGCCTCCTCAGTGGGCAGGTTGACAAGCTACCTCAGAGGAAGCTGGTCTTCTGGACGGGAGCGGAGTGGGAGGGAAGATAGGGCCTAGAGGGTCAGGGAGCAAGCCTGCTTTCTACATAATTTTGATTTATTGTGGTAAAATACACGTAAGATTTCCCATTTAACCACTTTAGATGTACAATGTATTGGCATTAAGTACATTCACAGTGTTGTGCAACCATCACCATGTTCTAGAACTTCGTCATCCTATACTGACACACGTTTACCATTTCACAGTAACCTGCCTTCCTCCTCCCAGTTCCTGGTAACCTCTGACCATCCTCTCTCCATGATGTTGACTCCCCTAGGACCTCGCATAAGTAGACTCATGCAGTCTTTGTCCCCTTTGTTTCCGGTTTACTTCACTTTGCATACTGTCCTCAAGATTCATACACATAGCATGTGCCAGAATTTCCTTTTATGGCTGAATACTTCATCGAATGGGTGTATCACATTGTGTTGATCCGTTATCCACTGATGGACAGACACCCAGTTGTTTCCAACTCTTGGTCACTCTGCGTAATCCTGCTGTGCACATGGTGTGCAGCTCTCTCAGCCCCAGCGAGCTTTTCACTTCTTGGGGGCGTATCCCCAGGAGTGGGGTTGTTGGATCACAAAGTTTTTGATATTTACCTTTTTGAGGAACCACAAAACTTTTCCATAGCGGTGTGCAGGGTTCACACTTATTACATATATTCTTCACTACAGCCATCCCAGTGGATAAGTGGTACCTCATTGTGGTTTTGATTTGCATTTCCCTGATGTCCAGCTAATGATGTCCAGCATTTTCTCATGTGCTTATAGGCCATTTGTGTTCCTTCTATTGGAGAAATTCTGAGTCCTTTGTCCATTTTTTAGTTGGGTTTTGTTGTGGATATGAATCACTTATCAGATGTAAGATTTGCAGATATTTCTTCCCAATTCCATGGGCTTTCATTTTTTTCTTCTTTATTAAGGTATTACATGTGTCCTTTTTCCTCCCATTGCCCCCACATCCCACTCCCGTTTCTGCCCTCACCCCCCTGTGGCTGCGTCCATTGATTATGCTTATATGCATGCATACAAGTCCTTCGGTTGATCTCTTCCCGCTTCCCCTACCTTCCCTCTGAGGTTTGAGCATCTATCAATACTTGATGCTTCTCTCTGTTCATCAGTTTATGTTCATTATATTCCACAAATGAGTGAGATCATGGGATATTTATCTTTCTCTGACTTATTTCGCTTAGCATAATGCTCTCCAAGCTGTCGCAAATGGTAGGGGTTCCTTCCTTTTCTACCGCAGCACAGTATTCCACTGAGTAGATGTACCGCAGTTTTTTAATCCACTCATCTGCTGATGGGCACTTAGGCTGTTTCCAAATCTTAGCTATGGTGAATTGTGCTACTATGAACATAGGGGTGCATATATCCTTTCTGATTGGTGTTTCTAGTTTCTTGGGATATATTCCTAGACGTGGGATCACTGAGTCAAATGGCAGTTCCAAATTTAATTTTTTGAGGAAACTCCATACTGTTCTCCACAGTGGCTGCAACTGCATTCCTACCAGCAGTGCAAGAGGGTTCCCTTTTACCACATCCTCACCAACACTTGTCATTTGTTGACTTGATGATAGTCATCCTGACAGGTGGGAGATGGCACCTCATTGTCGGTTTGATTTGCATCTCTCGAATGATTAGTGACTTTGAGCATGTTTTCATGTCTCTTGGCCTTATGTCCTCTTTCAAAAAGTATCTATGTAGGTCCGTTGCCCTTTTTTTGGTGAGGTCTTTTGTCTCTTGATAGTGTCCTTTGATGTACAAATTTTAAATTTTACTGTAGTCCAGTATTCTTTTGTTGCCAAGAAATCACTACCAAATTCATTGTCATGAAAATTCCCCATTTTCTTCTAAGCATTTGGTAGTTTTGGCTCCTGAACTTAGATCTTTGACCCATTTTGAGTTAATTTTTGTACATACATGGTGTAAGATAGTATCCAACTTTAGGCCCTATTGAGAGGCTTGGTTTCTGACATCCTTTCACTTTGATTGGTAGAAATTTCAGCAGATTTCAAGGAGCCGCCATCCCTGCCAGGGAAGGAGAAGCCCCCCGCGACAGCAGCCTGTGGGTCGCCCCTGGCCACACAGTCCCCGCCCTCTGCTGAGCTTCCCCAGGCTGCCCTGCCCTCATCGACCTCACTTGCCCTTCCCGGGCGCCTGGAGGACTTCCTGGAGAGCAGCACTGGGCTACCCCTGCTGACTGGCGGACACGAGGGGCCAGAGCCCCTCTCCCTCATTGATGACCTCCATAGCCAGATGCTGAGCAGCTCTGCCATCCTGGACCACCCCCCCTCACCCATGGACACCTCGGAATTGCACTTTGCCCCCGAGCCCAGCAGCATGGGCCTGGACCTGGCTGATGGCCACCTGGACAGCATGGACTGGCTGGAGCTGTCTTCAGGTGGCCCCGTGCTCAGCCTGGCCCCACTCAGCAACACGGCCCCCAGCCTCTTCTCCACGGACTTCCTTGATGGCCATGACTTGCAGCTGCATTGGGATTCCTGCTTGTAGCTCTCAGGTGTGCCAGGGGACTGGAGGGGCTGGAGCTGGGAGCCTCAGGAACAACAGGGAGCTCGGCTCTCTCCTGCGGGATCCAGCTCTGCGTGGTCGTGAGTCCTGACAATCACAGGCCCTGTTTCCCCTCCCTGGCTCAGGGTCACCCAGGGGTTTTGGAGACCTGGACAGGCCAGGGACTTCCTATTTGACCTCCTTTTGAGAGGTTGGAGGTACCCTGCCTGGCTACAGTTTGCTCAGGTGGGCGAGGTATGAATTCCCTCCCTTCTCGGGAAAAACAAACTGGGCCTCTACCTCCCCATCCCCCGTGACCCTAACCCCAGGTTTCCTAGGCTGGGGGAGGCGCTGCCATGTTAGTGTCTTGCTATAGAGTAACCATTTAGCGGTTGGTGGCAAACATGCACTGTACAGGTGTATGTACCTCTATATTATATCGCCATATATATATACACATATATTTTTGGGGTGTAAGAGGTGGATGAAGTTCCCTTCCATCCTACTGTGCACATACAGAAGGGTCTGGAGACCCCGGCTCCACCCATCACGTGTGTTTGACATGTAGACACCCCATCACAGCCTGAACCCCACCTGTCCTCATATCAGTGCCACGAGGGCAGAGGTGCATCTTGGCCACCTGCCCACATTCCGTCCTGCTGCCTCACTGCAGCCCCCACGGCCCTGGGACAGGAGGGGCATTAGCCCCAGAGTGGGGCCAGACGTGGCCCTCTCCTGCCCTGGGGCCCAGCCTCCCCTTTGGCTGTCACTGTTATTCTAGGGGTTTGGGGAGGTGGGGGGGGGGGCACCAGCGCTGGGACAGAGGTGGGGAAGCTGTGTGAACTTTTTAAAATAAAAGCAAAAACAACAGCTTGTTAGTCCCTCTTGGTTAATCTGTGGACAAGGTGGGTGGTATGGCTGGGCCCTACACCCTAACCTCACCTTCCCAGCCAGGCTCTCCATTCTAGGCCATTCCAGAAAGCGCAGAACCTTGGACATATGGCCCGGATTGGACTGAAGACAGAAGGTGCTTCCTCAAAGACAATTTATTTACAGACCCAGGAGCCTTTAGCCGCCGCACTCCCTTCCTGAGCAGCAGCGGACAGAGGTGGCTCTCTACCTCCTCCTGAGGTTTTTGGTCAGTACAAGTAGGACGGATGGGGCCCGGAGCCTCCATACACACTGGGAGGGATAGAGCCAGCCCGGCCCACCTGCTGCCACCGGGGTGCTGTCCCCGATCTCCCTACCATGGCGCCTGCCAAACTCCAGTGTGGTCTTCCCTTGGTCCCGTAGCTTGGGTTAGGCCTGGACCATGTCAGCCCCATCCCAACGCCATTCTCTTTTTAAGGAGGCAGCTGCTCTGGTAGCTGGTGCTGGGAGAGGCCTGGGTGTGACGGGGCCGCTGGAGGAGGAGCGTCACCCATCTATATCCCAGCTGAAAAGGTGGTGCTTCACCAGCATGTCCTGGACGCCCTCCTTGAGGGGCTTCTTCTCCTCCTGCACAGGGACAGCACCCACCTCACAGGCTGCACACAGCAAGGAAGCCCAAGGGGGCAGGGGCCCTGCCTCAGCCACCGCACCCACCGCCCCTCCAGGAGGAAGGCAGGTCGATGGGCTAAGGACCAACCCCAACCACCCACCTCTCTCTTCATTGGAAGTTCCCAGTCCTGGGAGAGGCTGAAGGCAAAGCAGCAGAGGACGCTAGAGAGGAGGAAGGGGAGGCTGTCAGTCACCCTCAGGTCGGCTCCTTCTGTCCCCCTCCCCCCAGAGCCACTGGGCCTGGGCTCTAGCAGCACCAGAGCAGGGTCCTCACCGGAGCTCACACTTGATCTGGACCCAGCCGGGGCTCCGCAGGAAGGACCAGGGCTGGTACCACTTCTCCACGGTGGGCAGGCTGGAGCAGAGCACCTCCAGCCACAGGTGCAGAACCTGCTCACTGGGGACAGGTGGGGGAAGTGGGCATCCACAGAGCCTTCTGAGGACCATGGTGGGTCTCCCCTCCAGTGCTGGGCTGGGCGGCCCCCACTCCAGGTTCCTCTAACCCCAGCCCTCTTCCCTCCACTCCTCAGGTGACCCAACCTCCTTTACTCTCAGCCCCTGGCTTTAGCTCCCTCACACTGGGAGACACACTCAGGGACACACTGCCCCCAGTCCTGTCACAGATCTTCCCTCTCTGCATCTGAGAGTAAAGGAGGTGGGGTCACTGCCTGCTGCCAGGCAGAGGGCCTGAGCCCGGCTGGTCAGTCCAGGAGTGAAGTGCATTCTCACCAGCCTGTTGGGCCACAGCCACATTCTGAGTGTGTCTCTGCAAACTACTCCTCCCACCCCAGAGAGCAAATCCAGAAACCCTCCTTTACCCAGACCTGAGCCTCACAAATGCCCGAGGCCTCTCAGCAGGCCCCTCCCTAGTTTGCTGCAGCAGACGCATTCCTGGGAAGCCCTTCACTGGTCCCGTGCTTCATAAACCCTCACACACCTTCCCCATAAAGCAGCAGCTCGTCTCGTGCTGGAGGAAGGTCTTTGGGGGGTTACCCTTGCCACCTTCCATTTGTCCAACTCTTGCGGGCCTGGAAGGCCCAGCCCACAGCCCCTGCTCCCCCACAGGGCCAAAGCCAGGTTGCCACTCACCCAACTATGGACTGTCACACCCACAGTAGGCACAGACACTCACTTGAGCCCCACACAGATGAGAGAGCGGAGCTTGACATCCATTTGCGCGTGTGCAGCATCATGGGTCACGTTCACAGACTGCACGGCCTAGGAGGACACGGCTATCACAGGTGCCCCAGCTGCCAGCCCAGGAGCCACACCCCACCCATGGCCCTGCCTACCCGATAGAGCAGTTCCTCCGGGGTCAGAACTTTGCCATCTTCATCCAACCTGGGGAAGGCGGGAACCCAAAGCTGCCAGATGTGCAGGCCTGGGCTGCCCTCTCCCTCCATGATGCTGCCAGGACCCCTGCCAGGGGGGGACTGAGGCCCCGTTACCTGTACGTCTTACACAGCACCAGGCGAGAATACACCGAGTCGAAGTCTCTCTCCACCTCGCGGCCTGCTGCCTGGAGGTTGTATGGAGAGAACGTCAGGGACGACGGGGTAGGGTCCAAGTCCGTGCACATCACCACCCCACGAGCTGCTCCTGCCAGCTCCACAGAGCCCAGGGCCCTGGCGAACAGGACATGGAGGACATGGTCCAGCCAGACTCACCTCCTCGATAAACAGCCAGGGGTGGCAGGCGCCCCCAAGCAGAGACGGCTTCTTCAGTCCGTGTTCGAACAGGGCCTTGAGGGCTGGGCAGAGGGTCCCTCGCACAAGGTCTGTGACGCCCTCCGTGACAGTGTCATCCCCCGCGATGGAGTACTGTTGGTGGGGGACGGGGTCTGAGAGGCCCCAGCCCTGCACCTGTGGCCAGTCACCCTCTCCCTGTCCTCACATCCCTTGCCTCAAGCTAGAACTTGCTAAGGACACAGGCCCTGGCCAGGAGGGTGCAGGCCTTGCCAGGGTGGAGGCAGCCCTGCCCTGTCCCCCTCTTACCTCTTTGCTCCGTTCATCCAGGACTTCCACAAATTTGGCTGGAAACCAGCCTGTGGGAGAGAGAGGGTCCTGTGAGGAGCCTGGTGTCCCCACGCTACACCCCCCCCCACCCCCGTCCCAAAGGGGCTGAAGACAGGCTCAGCCCAGTTCCTGGGGAGGGGAGGGGGACCAGGAGGGATACAGCAAGGTGACCAGCCTCACCTCTTAGGCCATTCAGCTCCCCGACCCAGCAGTGCTCGTCCTTTTGAGAAATGATCTGTAGAAAGAGCAGGAGGCAAAGCTATGTGCCTGGGCCCAGCGCCTTGCACACCACCCAGGCCAGGGCGATGGAAATCCTTGGCAGGCACGGGGCTTGGTGAGGCTGAATAACCTGGCTGTACCCTCAGGGCCACCAATGGTGCCTGCTCCCAGCAACCAGGCTCCACCTGCCTCTGAGCACCGCCTCCCGAGCCTCGCCCACGCACCGTGATGATGTCATTCTTGCGAAAACCCAGCTCATCGTCATCGTGTCGCTCGAAGTCTAGCAGGGCCTTGGCCCTGCGCCGGTGGCTGCGTGAGCAGGCCACGTAGTTCTCGTGGTCCCGCTGGTGGCTCTCCATGCTGTAGTCTGGCGTCAGCTCCTGTCAGAGAGTGGAAAGGCCCACTACTCAGGATAGGGCTGGGAAAGGAGAGCCACCCCAAGTCGATCCATTGGGCACAGGACTGGGAGCCTGCGACTCACCACATTACAGTTTTTGGGGTCAGTGCACTGGAAATGGCGTGCCACGCGCAGGATGGCTTCCCGGAGGTCAGCCACCAGTTCCGTCTGCTTGATGTTCTTGGCCTTGAGTGCTTCCAGGTCGTCCTCCCCTGAGGACCCAAAAGGCTATGACAGCCATGGCTCCTGCCAAGGAAGCTCAGGGCCGACACCCCTGGTCTTCGCCGCCCTCCAAACCCAGGCTCCGAGAGTGTAGGCTCGGCTGGCCGGGAAGAGACCGCTGAACTGGGCCAGGACTCACCGAAGAGCAGGGAGGTGAAACCAGACTTCCTCCGCTGCGTCCTGCGACGAACCACCTGCGGGCACGGGGACGGTCGGCCTCAGGAGGGCTTCCAGGGCCCAGCCGAGGGGAGGCGCTCTCAGCGCCAGAGGGAGGGCACAGAGCCCTTCCTGGGGGCAGCTCAGGCCTCTCACGGGGACTACCTCATGGGAAATGGCCTCCAAGGCCGGCTGGGTCAGAAATGTACTCAGTTTAAAGCTGGGTCTTCCTGCACCCAAACTGGTGTCCCTCCATAGCTGGGTTCTGCTGGGCCAGGCCCAGCCTGGGTGCTGAGCTGGGGGTAGGGGGGTGGGGGATGGCACAGCGGGGACCCTCGGGGCTCCCTCACAGGCCCACCTGGGAGAGGTTGGTGGTGGTGCTGGTCCCCAGGAGCTGACCCTGGTCTGCAAGGAGGTAGGCCAGGTGCTTGCGGCGCTGGGTCTCCACAGCCACGTCCGTGAGGGAGCCAGCCAGCCGCATGGCCTCCCCCAGCAGCAGCTCCGCGTCCTCCATCTGCGAGGGTATGTCCGACAGCGTGTTGAAGATGGAGGCCGAGTTCTCTGACTGGATCAGCTCCTCCTCCTGGGTCATGTGAGGAGAAAGGGGGAGTCACTGCCCAGCACCAGGCCCAGGAGCTGACCCCCATCAGCACCTCCATGCATGTGTGACTTCCTGGAAGATCAGATGAGCATAAGGGAGTCCCTGGCCCAGGAGACACCCCCCGAGGGGCTCCTCATGGGCAGCGGGCCGGCAGGGGGGGGGGGGGGGGGATAGGGGTGGGGATGGAGGGGGAGGTGCGGGGGGCGGGGCTGCAGCTGCACCTTGAGGCGCAGCATGCCCAGCGTGGCCTGGAAGAGCACCAGGGAGCCCTGGTAGAAGAACAGGTCCCAGAGGCGCAGCAGCAGCCTGATGTGCACCACGCTGGCGAAGGCCGTGAGGAACCAGTGCAGCGTGATCAGGGACAGCTCTGTGGACAGACAGGGACACTGGTAGGAGACAGTCTGAGAGAAGGGGCACTGCCAGGAGCTGGGGAAGGGTGAAAAGTGTCTCCCAGAAAGCAGGAGACCCGCCCACCCAGCTCCGAGGGGAGGGAGGAGACAGTGCAGCCTCAGAGAACAAGAGCAACAAAGACTGCGAGCACAGAGGAGTCCCTTCTTCCCCGGCTGCTGCGCCCTCTGCGGGCTCTGTCAGGAAGCACCGATTCACAGTATCTGAGTCAGATGGCAAGAGCCCTCAACCCGGAGAGGACAGGCGGCCTTACCGATGTCATGCTCCTGGAGCAGCTTGTCCAAGCGGGGCAGGTACTGGACGATGAGGTGGCGCAGGACCCGCTGGTCAGTCTGGACGCCCAGCAGGGTGGTGCTGAAGTAGGAGGCAGGGAGCAGGTCCTCGATGATGGCGCACATCATCCAGAAGGTGTCCTCCTCCTCCAGGAACAGCAGGAGGCAGGCGGCCACCTGGCCAGGGCAGGGGGACAAGGGGCCTCGACCCAGGTCTCCACACGAATGAGCAGCAGCACCCTTCTGAGGGCCACGTCACGGACCGCGTGCCTTCCTTGGGTACTTCTACCTCCATCCCTGCTCCGGTCCTACTGCCCTGGACTGCTCCCTGGGGGCACCCCTCCCCTTCCCGGCTGTGCTCACCATGCCTGTGCCCTGGCAGTAACCGATCTCAGGGTAGAGCCAGGCCAGTGCTCGGAGAACCCTGCGCAGGCGAGGCACCCCGATGCTGCTCTCATTGGCGAAGCAGGCGTTGCTGGGCATGGTGCGGAGCAGGTCCTTCTCAATCTGTAGCGGCCCACCCCAGAAGCCCCTGTGAGACCGCTGCTCCGGCGGGCCCACCCCCTCCACACTCTTGACCTCTGACCCAAGAGGGCACTCCCCAGGTGGGCTTCTCTCCCAGGAATGGGATTCCTTGTGCTCCTCTCTTCAGGGGTAGAGCCAGCTAGTGTTTGTAGCTGATTCTACCAGATTCACTTGGGGCACTTACAAACAGACAAAAGACAGATTCCTGGGCTTTGGGCCAGAACTATGGAATGAGGGTCTCTGTAACGAGGCCTGGAAATGTGTGCTTACATCTCCAGGTGACCCTAATGTGCTCCCAGTTAGATGGCCTTTTTGGCAATCCCCCTGCTGCCTCAGAGAACCGGGAGGGAGCCGGAATGCCCAGGCCTCTATGCAGCTGCTGTGCTCCCCCTGCCACCTTGCCAAGGAGAGACCAAGGGGATCCTGTACCCCAGGCAGCCCACTGCCTGCCTGCAGGACCTCCCGCTCACCTGCTTGGCAGCAATGGTCTCGTCGTTGGAGCTGTTCTTCACCACCTCCCGGTAGGACAGCTCCGAGTTCCTCTTCTTCTGCAGCGCCCCAGAGAGCCGCATCCACAGCTGCGGGAGGGGCCGAGAGCGTTCAGGCTTGGTGAGACACTGAGCCCGCGGCCCTCTGTGGCCTGGCCTCCATGCCTCACCTGCGGCCTCATGCTGTGTGGGATGCCGGCCAGCACCAGGGAGCGGAGCTTCTCTGAGCGGGGCAGGGAGGCGGCGATCTTGTCCCAGGTGAGATCGCCCACGTCGTGGTTGTGGGTGAACTCCAGGTGGGCCTGCCACCGCAGCCGTTGGGGAGGGTCCTCCATCAGAGACCCGGCAGGCAGCCTGCTGGAACTGGGGTCGGCACCCTCTGCCAGGAAGCACCCAGGACAGGGCGGTGAGGCAGGCGGCAGGAAAATGTCTCCGGGCTTCCAGTCCGGGGCCCAGATCCACCACGGACACTCAGAGCCACAGTTCCCATGGCCCAAGGAGCACTTGGACCAGCAAATCCGAGCTCTTCACTCTCCCCCAAACCCGCCCTTCCGTGATCTCCCAGGCCCACAGACCCCCCTCTATTCTCAGGATGCTCGGGTCTAAACCTCAGAGCCACCTCCACTTCTACCCCAGGATCAAGCCCTCAGAGCACAGGCAGAGTCTCTCCACTCTCACCACCTCTGACCACTGCCCTTCAAGCCATCACCTTCCTTGCGGGTTACCACCTCGTCCTTCCTCCCTGTTCCGCCCCTGCCTCCCCAAGGGAATCCTCCACACAGCAGTCAGCGCTCTTGACCAGGCCAGTCAGATCGTCACTCTGCTCAGAGCCCTCTGGTGCCACTCACTCGCCCGCCTCACTCCTACCAATCGCCACTGGTGGAGGCGCCTCACCTACTGCCTCACCTCGCTCTGACCCGCCTCCTCCTGTCCCGTCTCCTCCCTGGCCTCATCACCGACCTTCCTTCTGCTTCCTCCACTCCAGCTACTCCCCACCAAACCACTCCTGCTCCCGCGCCTTTGCACTCATTGTTCCTTCCCGTGGCTACACACTCCCTGCCTCTTCCTCCCGTGTCCAATCAAACGCCTCTGCCTTCGAGAGACTTCCTATAAAGTTAATAGGAAGGCTTCCTGGTTCCCGGGATTATTTCATAGCTCTTCCCCCCAGCACAGGATATATTTGTTTGTTGGTTTGTTTACTGCTGGGGAACTCCATGGACCAAGACCGCCTTTGGTTCTGTTCATGGTACTGAGACGCAGCAGTGGGGAGTGGACAACAGTGGCCTCCTGAACTGCCCCGATCAACATGGATGAGCCGCCAGCCTCCTGGCAGTCTCGGTGTGCGTTAGCCCCACAGGAAGCCGCGTCCTCACTCACCCTAAGTCACAGCCTCAGCTTTCTAGAATTCCACCTTTAGTGAATTTTCACACAGTAAAATGCACGAATGTTAAGGGACCATTTTGCTGAGTATCAATAAACAAATGGAGATAGACTGTCTCCATCATACTAGAAAGTTTCCTGAGTTCCCTGAGCTCTGACTTGCCAATATATGCCTACAAACGAGAGAATAAAGAAAACGTATGCCAGAATTGTAAATGTGAATGACCTGAAGATGACTGGTTTCAACCAATTAAAATCTTTAGTCACGGTTATATCTAGTCACAGTGAGAGGCCGTCCTGGGTTCTGGAAAATGGCTTTCCCCAGAGCCCACTCAGGAACCAGCAGGTGCATTTATACTAGGAAACAATGGAAATGGCCTGCAGGCCAACTCGGAAACATGGTTATAAAAAATAATATGATAAACCCCTTATAATGGGATATTATGCAGCAACTGAAAAATATGCTTTAAAACATTTTTTAACAGAAAAAAATGCACACGATATGATGTTGAACTCTAAGAGCAACAATAAAAACATGTAGCCTGGCTGGTGTGGCTCAGCTGGTTGAGCACATGCACGTACCAGGAGGTAGCCAGTTCAATTCCTGGTTAGGGCACATGCCTAGGTTACAGTACAGGCTCAACCCCCAGTGCTGGGTGTGCAGGAGGCAGCTGATTGATGTGTCTCTCTCCCACCCTTCCCTCCTCCCTCTTCCTCTAAAATGTCAATAGAAACATGTATACTAATAAAAGAGTAATATGCAAATAGTCAGGATGCCCTAAGGCGTAACAAACCATCAGCATGCTGCGTGCACAGCAGGAGTGGCTGGGCGGGGACTTGCAGCATTGGGACTGGCATCACGCCATTACAATCTCACCAGGAGCCCTGGTGATCCCTGGGATCCACATGGCACGGAGGCGGGATCCCAGCTCTGGCCTCTTTGGGGCAATCCATCGAGGAGCCCCAGATGGTGGGCGGGGCCTACCTCTTTTGGGCCATGGACTGTGGGGCTCCTGCACTATGACAGGCCACAGGCCAGGCTGGGGACTTCCCACCCCGAGTGCACAAATTTCATGCACTGGGCCACTAGTATTTTTAAAAACTCTACAAATATGTATATAAGGACAATGGGGGACTAAAGGGTAAAAGGGGCCAAATATATGGTAATGGAAGATGATTTGACTTTGGGTGGTGGGCACACAATGCAATATACAGATCATGTATCACAGAAATGTACACTTGAAACATGTGTAAAATATTTAACAATATAAAATATATAAAATAAATTTTTTGTTAATCCTCACCTGAGGGTAGTTTTTACATAGATTTTGAGAGAGAGTGGATGAGAAGAAGAAAAAGGGAGACAGAGAGGAGGGGGAGAGTAACATCCATGTGAGAAAGAGAGACATCAATTGGTTGTCTTCCATGTGCACCCTGATGGGCTGAGGATCGAACATGAGACCCTTTGGTGCATAGGCCAACACTCTACCTACTAAGCCACACTAGTCAGGGAAAAACCTAATTTTATTAATCAATGTCACCCCAATAAAGTTAATTTAAAAAAAAGAAAATAAGTACAAATTGGTAATTACAGAATAGTCACAGAGACATCCCAAAAGCACAGCATTGGGAATATAGTCAATAAAGGCTAATATGCTAAGTGTTCCTCCGACTGGTCACTATGACACACACTGACTACCCAGGGCAGACACTCAAGGCAAGAGCTGCTGTGACACACTGGCCATGTACAAAGAAATGGCACTGCGGACCTGGTGCCTACAAAGCAACACTCAGCTTCCCCTAAGTGGGACATAGGCCCTGTTACCACCCTGGACCAACACACACCAAATCACAGCTAACACTGCCGAGACCCAATGGTGCAACATGCAACCCACAGCCCAGCCCAGCCCAGAAATGGTCGCTATGGACACCAGGTAATGACATCATGTAACAACACCCAGCTTCTTCTCCCTAGCAACTAGCCCCCTTGGAGTTTCTTCAGTTCAAGAACATGACTTGCTTTATAGCCAGGTGCAAACATTTTACACTTTAACCAAATGTCTGTGAAGCATTTTCCCGTGCCTCATCTCATTTGATCATCACAGAAGTCCTAGAGTATGTAGATAGGAGACTCAGTGGAATTCAGCCAAGGCGGGTGCAATTCAAAATATAGTTATAAACACAGAGCTAGAAAAGGATACACTAAAATGTCAGCAGTTATCTTCAGGTTGTGGGATTATAGGTTATTTTGTTTTAATCTTTATACTTTTCTGTATTTTCAACTTCTCTACAAGGAACATTGTTTTTATTATCATATAAAGATTAATAAAATGAATCTAAAAAAATCACAGGTCCTTGAACAACACAGGTTAGGGGCACTGTTCACCTTCATGGTAAAAAATCGAGAATAACTTAAGTTGGCTCTCTGTGTACACAGATTACCAACCACCAGTTGACCCCTAAACAACTTGGGCTTGAACAGCAACGAGGGATCCTGGAACTAGGGTCCTCGCCAAGAACACCTGCAAGATGACACTCACGGGGCTCAATCTCACCTTCCTTGTCCACCCGGAAACCGAACTCGTCGTAGTAGAACTCTGGTTGCTCCATTGACTCTTCCTTCTAGAACCAGGATTAGGAAGAGTCAGTCATGCAGCCTCCAATCTAGAACCACAGGTTCTGAATATGCTGCCCATGATGCTGCCAAGACTCAGATCAAAGACCTTTGTGTTCCTCTGAAGCCTCTGTTCATTACTCAGCTACAGGTGCCCCTACCTTCTTGAATTCGCCTGGCATATTCTTTCTTTTCCCCTATGTCAAATGAAATAGATCAAGGCATTTGTGTCCTCATAATACTGAGTACATAATGCCATAATACTCTAACCTAACGACTCATTCACAGAGAATGTGGAGCTAAGATGCCATCTCTGATGGTGGCCTCTGACCCTGTGTGAACAGGGTGCATAGCCACCCACTGGGAGCTTGCAGCGGCAGGTCCCCCCAGCACCACAAAGTGGAAGCATAGCCACTGGTCACTGCTGTACCTGCATGTACTTGGCCAGGATCTCCTGGGGCCATATGCTCGGAGTCAGGGCTGAGAAGGGACCAGAGGCAGAAGGTATGTGGCTTCCTGAAAGCAAGGAAAACCAGGAATAGGAGATGAAGGCAATGCAGAGCACACAGAGAAAATTCAAGTTGAGATATCCACCCTCATTCCAAGAGCTCCAGCATAAAGGGAATGACTGCACCATCTAAAGTGACAGGTAGCCGAAACCGGTTTGGCTCAGTGGATAGAGCTTTGGTTTGCACACTGGAAGGTCCCAGGTTCGATTCTGGTCAAGGGCATGTACCTTGGTTGTGGGCACATCCCCAGTAGGGGGCGTGCAGGAGGCAGCTGGTTGATGTTTCTCTCTCATTGATGTTTCTAGCTCTCTATCCCTCTCTCTTCCTCTCTGTGAAAAATAAAAAAAAATACATTTAAAATAAAATAAAGTGACAGGTAAGGAGAGGCAGAAACTCGGGAAAGTGCACATTTCTAGAGGAAGGAAAAGGAAAACCCCCCACAAAAACCAGCATGTTAAAAGCACCACCAAATTCCCTCTCTTTGCCTCTCCCTCCACTCAGAGTGAGGATTTGCAGTGGGAAGGGGGGAAGAGGACAGAGACTTAAGGGAAATTGGAGAGCTGAGCTGAGAAGAGAGCTGTGACTCTCCCAGCTGCTCCGCCAGAAGACTTCCTCCTTCCTCCTTCCTCAACCTTTTACCTGGATGGTCATGACCCTCAAAAGTATGTGAAAAACAAACAAGCCGCTTCACCACACTGAGTGGGGCTTCCTTTCTGCAGAGCTTCTCACCCAGTGCCCCACCAGGTCCCTCTTCCCACCTGACATTGTGAAGAGGTGAGGCAAGTCTTCTGCAGATCCAGACTCAGAAGTTTTTCCTTCCTGACATCTTACAGCTGGAAGGCTCCTCAGGCTTCATCTGGTCCATGTGCCCTGGCAGAAGCAAAGGGGAAAGTCATTCTGAAGCGGCCCCTCCTGAGTCCTTCACCCACCACTCTGCGTTTGTTGGCCCAGCGGCGGTGGGGAGGGAAGTGCTGGCCACTGGTCACCAAGGGAAGGGAGAATCACACTGGAAAAGGCCTTTTTTTGAACATTCCATCTGAGAGAAGATCCACTCTGAAGAAGCTACAAAAGCAATGTTCTCCACAGCTTTGGAGCCAAGGGGAGGTCCGTTCAGTTCCCATATTAAGGAAAGAGAGAATCACACATCCAGACTTCCTGAGGCCCTATGCTCAGACAAATGTTTAATTAAGAAAATAAAACCCAACACCATCAAAACCTCCGTGAATAGGTTTTCCTGAGCCAGAATATTTGAGGAATCCTTTAGAAAGAATACAACTCAGCTTCTGAGCCAACACCCACACATTCCACTTCCTCCGACAGTGTGCTCTCCCACATTTCCCACTAGCCTTATAGCCTGGAAACTAGAAAACTGCATCTAATTCAGATTTCTACTGTCACTGTTTAAACCCTGCCTTCCTCCCCTCCCTTTTTTGTTCACTTGAAAAAGACTTGCCTGCGTGGCCGGCGTGGCTCAGTGGTTGAGTGTTGACCTGGTCAGGGCACATGCCCAGTTTGAGAGCTCCTTCCCCATAGGGGCATACAGGAGGCAGCCGATCCATGATTCTCTCTCACTGTTAATGTTTCTCTTTCTCTCTCCCTCTCCCTCTCTCTCTGAAATCAATAAAAATATATTTATAAAAAAAAAAAAAAAAAAAAAAAAAAAGACTTGCCTGGCCAGGTAGCTCAGTTGGCTAGAGTGACATCCTCATACACCAAGGTCAGGTAGATGTTCTACACAGAATCAACCAATGAATGCATAAATAAGGGGAACAACAAATCGATTTTATTTTTCCCTTCTCTCTCCTTCCCCCTTCTTCTCTCTAAAATCAATTTTTAAAATGTTAACAAACAAAAAAAACAAACACACACACACACACACACACACACACACAAAAACAACAACAACAAAGACTCAACAAAAAGACAAATAGCTCAATTTAGAAAATGGGTAAAAAATATGAATACACTTTTCTCCAAAAAAAGAGGTGTGGGTGGCCACTGAGCTGGAAAATAATGCTTGACATCTTTAATCATCAGGGAAATGCAATCAAAACCACAACGTGAGAGACAGAGATAGAGAGACAGAGATAGAGAGATAGAGATAGAGACAGAGACAGAGACAGAACCAAGATGGCCCTGTAGGCAAAAGCCACCACCTCCCACAACCAGATCAAAATCATAACAAAAATACATTAACAAGCATCATTCAGAACCGCCTGAAAATTGGTGATTCTACAACTAAAAAAAACAAAGTACATGGAGACTAGCAGGAGGGGCGGGGGTGTGGAAGGGCTGGTCAAACACCATGTGTGGCATTTTTTTTCAGTTGGGAGGGATAAAAAGGGGTCCCAGCCCCACCCCAGACTCCCAGCCCAGGATTCCAGACCTGGGAAGAGAAGTCCTTTGAGCTATAAAAACTTTGAGCTATAAAAACTTTGAGCTATAAAAACCAGCGAGGATTGTGGCTGAGTGACACGGAGGCTGCTGGAACCCCAGGCAGTTCTTATACGCCCCCTTCTTCTGAGTGCCAAGGCCACGGCTTTGAGAGATCTAGAGCACATCTATCATCTACCTACCTACCTACCTACCTACCTACCTACCTACCTACCGTGTTTCCCCGAAAATAAGACATCCTCCGAAAATAAGACCTACTTACAGGTTTCCTTCTGAGTGAAATATAAGGCATCCCCTCGAAAATAAGGCCCCCCCTAGGCTAAACATGAGAGATTTGGTCCACTGATTCTGAAAGAAATGGAGTCACAAGAAATTCACCAGGAAATTCAGGAATTGGATTGTTATGATGATCTTCCAGAAGATGATGACATGATTGTCATTGGATAAATGAGTAAATTCTTGATACTGTAGGAATCACAGTTTGTCTGGTTTGTGTTGACAACTACCGTACTACTGTACTGTTTACAGGTAATAAATTTCCTTTATTTTCATTTAACAATCAATGTGTACCATATTCTTCTTCATGCAAAATAAGACATCCCCTGAAAATAAGACCTAGCGCATCTTTGGGAGCAAAAATGAATATAAGACACTGTCTTATTTTCGGGTAAACAGGGTATCTACCTACCTACTTACCTACCTACCTACCTACCTACCTACCCACCCTATCTATCTCCCTTCTTTTCTCCCTCTCTCAAATCAATGAAAACATATCCTCAGGTAAGGATTAAAAAACAGTGTTCTGGCCCCACCAGTATGGTTCAGTGGTTAAGCACTGACCTATGAATCAAGTAGTTAAGATTCAATTCTCAGTCAGGGCACATACTGGGTTGTGGGCTCAATCCCCAGTAGGGGGCATGTGGGAGGCAATCAATCGATGTGTGTATCTCACATCAGTGTTTTCGTCTCTCCCTTCCACTCTGTCTAAAATTCAATGGAAAAAATATCCTCGGGTGAGGATTAAAAATAAAAGCTCTTTCTGGCAGTAGTGCAGAGACAGCAAGGCAGAGGGGGTTGGAATGATGTTGGCTTTACTATGGTGAGAAATGATCAGATTCTGGAAATATTTTAAGGAGTCTCTGCAATTACAACACACACATACATATATGCGCCATATCTCCCATGAACTGCCCTTGAGTCTCTGAATTCCCAACAGGAGCCGGATGTGACATTGCTAAGCTGGGCAGGCAGGTTTTTCCTGCCTCTGATCACTAGGGAAACCAGCCATCTGTGAGCCTGAAGAAGCAAATGAGGAGTTAGCCACGTCACTGGCTGCCTGCTGTTGTCACAGAAGTACTGCGAGACAAAGATTTTTGAGAAACAACTTTGAGGTGCTCTAAACAGAAGCTTTGAAAATTAAATTTTATTTAATGTTTAAAGGTATCGGTCTTTTTACTCTGCCTCCAATATTTCCCCCCCTAGTCTGTTGACCTCACATTTTCTACAAGTTCACAAAGCGAAGATCAACAGATGTCATTCTAAATCCTTGGGGTGTGGGAGGCAGGGGATGGGTAGGGACTCTTGATATAGATTAAAGAGATCTCATCCTTTATCTACTCCTAACCTACTAACCTGTCTCTCCTAGTTTTCTTGACAACACAGCAGAGTTGCCCCTATTGCACAGGTCACACATTTTCCAGGGAACACAAAAGCTGTAAGCAGCAAAAGCAAAAGCACTTGTATTCTGAGAGGCCTCTGATATCCTGAAGCCTATTTTTTTGTTCCGGGAAATGTCAGGACACTGAGAGCTATCCCTAACAACAAACTGGGTGAGAATACAAAAACAGGAAAGTCTGAGAAAGGCTGGAGAAAGATGATAATGTGGCTACTAGAAATACTTTAAAAAAAGTAAAATTAGACAATAAATGCTCAATAGGATATGAGCATTTTATTGGAAATGAAGGAAAATAGAGGAGTACTTTTATGACGGTAGAGTAGAAAAATAATGAAGTTCTGTTTTCTCTTCCTCAGCAAATCTCTAAATGGGTGTGGGCTCCGCCCTTGCTCTTCTCTCTGGAGCTATTCCTGGGCAATATCATGGCCTGCCAGAGCTTCCAAACCACCTGTCAGACTCCTCATCCAGGGACACCTTTCTTGCAAGCTCCAGACTCCTATTTCCAGCTACTTCCTCCTAACAACATTATCCTCCTAATGCAAATGAGAAACCTGCATCTCCTGCTGTACTCTTTCAATGGCTTGCCATTATCCCCCAAATAAGGGCCACATTTCTCTTTCTCTCCTACCATCCCCACACCCACCTCACACAGTCAAGTGGGCTATTATCAGCTGCCCGGTGTCTCCATTGTTTTGTCTCTAATGGTCTTCTTATCTGCCAAATAGAGTCCTATTTATACTGTAAGACTCAACTCAAAGGACACCTGCCACTGAAGGAAGCCTTCTGCGGTAGCCGGCCTCCAAGATGGCTCAAATGATTCCACCTCCTGAAATTCATTCCCTGGGTAGGGCCTCTCCACACTGAACCACAGCTGACCCTGCGGCCAATAGAATACAGCAGCAGTGGCCGTGGATAACTTCCAAGGATAGGCCGTAAATGGCATTACAGCCTCCCTCCTGGTTTCCTGTATCACTTGCTCTGGGGGAAGTCAGCACCATGTCCTGTCATGAGAACACCAATTTGCCAGCCACATGAGTGAGCCACCTTGGAAGTAGACCCCTCGTCCCAAACCTTCAGATGACTGCAGACCCAGCCAATGTCTAACTACAATGTTATGAGACCACCTCTCCCACGATCCAAAATCTCCTGACATGCCTCCCAAATTCAATTCATAGAAACAGTAAAAAGAGAATAAATGGTTATTGTTGTTTTAAGCCACTAAATTTTGGAGTGATCTGTTACACACTAATGTATCTTCATGACTCTTCTCTGCCTATAGCTGGGTTCTCTGTGCTCCTAAAAAGCCCTGTGAGAAAATCCATCACAGAACTTACCTCATAACATTTTAGCCCTTTCCCTTTCTTTTTACTTATTTATTTTTTAAATATATTTTATTGATTTTTGTACAGAGAGGAAGGGACAGAGATAGAGAGTTAAAAACATCAATGAGAGAGGGTCATCCATCAGCTGCCTCTTGCACACCCCCTACTGGGGATATACCCGCAACCAAGGTACATGCCCTTGACGGGAATCAAACCCGGGACCCTTCAGTCCCCAAGCCGACGCTCTATCCACTGAGCCAAACCGGTCCCGGCTGGCCCTTTCCCTTTCTTTGGCCAAATGACTCCACTAGACTCAACTGCATCTTGTTTCTCTGCATCCTTGGCACTCAAAAGTCTCTCAATAAACAATTCAT